CTCAATATTTCCCTTGAAAATGCTCTTTTTCAAAACGTGTACGTTTCCAAGGTTATATGTTTCCAGTGATAATTTGTACAATCTGAGTCGGACAACGTCCGATAAAGGCTCAATATTTCTCATTACTGTTCCTTTAACCCTTTTCTATCTGTTTATTTCTTTCATACCACAGTTGGCCACGACTGGGCCGATCTCCCGAAGTGCTGGATAAAAGCTTCCAAAAATGCAGTACACTCATTCAATGCGAGTTGTCACGAACTCTGGCGAATATTAAAAGTACTCATTAGTAGCAGGATTTTAGGTGTAATTCTGATAAGGCTTTCATCCCAACAGTTCACAAGCTACATAGTAGAGCCTAGTCCGGAAAAGCACCAGACGAGATTCGCTCTACTGGGGCTCGTCAGTGGTGGGCATTCCCCCGGTCCTCTACGGAGGATCGAACCCATGACCGCTAGAGGCAGATGCCAACTAGCCAGCAGCTTAAACCACTGAGCCATGGGGGACGTTGGCTGGGCTACATAATTTGCAAACTAGCTGGGATATAGCACCACCTATCTACCACTGTCACTGACAGTGGTTAGCCTGCAAGGTGATGACGTCCTCTCACTAGACGCTATATCTATAGCATTTGAAACTAGGAGAGGCATTTGATTTTATAGTACTCATTAGTAGCAGGATTTTAGTTGTAAATCTGATAAGGCTTTCATCCCAACAGTTCACAAGCTACATAGCAGAGCCTAGTCCGGAAAAGCGCCAGACGCGTTTCGCCCTATTGGGGCTTGTCAGTGGCGCGCATTCCCTCGGTCCTCTAAGGAGGATTGATAACAGCCAAAAAGAAGTTAAAAAACCAGTCAACAAAATCATAGCCTACTTGTTTTAAGCCAAAACAACACATGGCCAGATGAGGTGTGTAAGTGAAGTGTGGACACATGTCTCTGGGAGACTCTTTAACGGAGGGTCATATTACTTTACGTAAACTGACGGCTATATCCGCTTTTATTCTTACTCTCAATTTCTTCATATGTTACTACTTTTAAATGATTGTACACCTCAAACATTCCATTGAGAACACAACAGAGCTTGAAAAATATCTAGTATCTGAGTTTGTTGTACCAGTTGATCAGGTTCGTAATCTGCCTGTGTCTCGCTTGTCGGTGCATATACCATTTATTTATTTATTGCGTAATATTCTCATCTCAGCGCGACGTTAAGCGGTTAAGGTTGGGTGCACACGCGTAAATCGCCCAACTTCCGAGCCACTATTGCAGCTTGACTAACCCAATCCATTGGTTGATCAAGCTTGGTCATAACGTCCAAACGGATCAAGTGTTGTAATTCATCTGCAGTTTTCGCACACAAAACAACAGTTACTCCTCTACCTGGCAATGCTGCTAATCGCATGGATTCTTTCAAAAGCAGATAAGCACCGCCTTCGAATTTCCTCAAGACACCATCACGTACGCTAGGATAAGAGTCGAGGATATCTAAGTTCGCTTCACACCAATGAACAGAACAGTCATGGTTAAAATGGACGAACTCCAATCGCTGAGGGAAATCAACGCCCAGGATCAGAGGAAAGTTTAGTGGCACATGAGAAATTCGAGCAAATGTTACGACCCATTCTTCGTGTCTATGGCTTTCACCTTGACACATTCCATCAACTGGAGCCGATCCGTTCCATATTTTAAGACTGTGTTGAGTGGCATTGTGTTCCACCACAGCACCTTTGTGGCATTTTTTTGTCACTGGCTCCCGAATCCAGTTGAAAAAGCACTGGCTGTCCTTGAATGAGTAGCACCGCATAGACCACACGATGGCAGTTCACGTCCATTCGTTTTCGACTAAGATTTCCTGCGACACTTGCTGATTGTGACGCTCACTGAGTCGACCTTGACTAAACAGCAGCAAGAAGCGAAATAGGTTTTAGGATACTTCCTACAGGTTGATCTCCATGTTGAGCAATTCTCCTTCTCGCCTTGGTGCACACAACTGCAAAATTATAACCTGGATTCTTGTCCCTCCGATGTCTTTGATAAACGTTCGCGGTTCCGAGATATCGCACAAAGAGCCTGTATTGTCTCCATTTTGATCTATTGATGCTGTTGGTTTGGTCTTGCTTCGCGAAGACACATTTAAATGCACTGTTCCAGAGCCAGGTCTCTCTGCTCCAAAAGTTGTTTCGTCAGCTCTGCATTTCTTATGATAATCACAATCCGCACACGTCCACGAGAATCTGCAATCAATCGCAATCGTAGCGCTTTCGTACTGGAATCTTCAGATCGGTAATAATGGCCTTGAGGGGTTCACCAGTTAAAGACCACGACAAAAATGGAGAAATTTGATACCTTTCCTCCGGCCGGTCTTCGCCTAACTCATGAACTTTGTCTACTACCTTATTTAGTTGGACTTTCTGATCGGTATCAATAAGGTCTGATATTTTCAGAGCCTGCCCCGCTTCAGTTTTAATTACATGCCTCAGCATTCTCATTTGATAGGCGAAAGTCTGAACATCTAACGGGGTCAATGTCACGAAGTCTATCCACTTAGTCCTCCACGTTCTCTAGCTATCGGACAGCGAGCTGTGCGTCATCTGCAGTAGATTTGGCAATAAGACCGCCGCCTGTCCGGAGAAAGCATGAGGGTTCGGTGTGATAGATTTTTCTGCCCTCTTACTATGGTGAGACAGCGCCCCAAGAATCCAAAAGCAGACTGCATATCCACCCAAAATCATGATCTTAAACAACAAATGGACATTACGTACTGTACACAAATTCCATTCACTATTTCGCTGTGGCACACTTTTACTGGCGGATTCTTGCTGTCCATCCACCTGCATTTATTGGCTTGCACATTTCGTTCGTTTGCTGCAGTTTGGATCGCTACTATCTTGGCTAGGATAACGTTGCTTTTGGTTTACAACATTCCAAACTAATTCGTCACTGCGCATCCGGCATGTGTAATCATGCGTAGACTGAACTGCTAGCGCCGACTGCTTTTTCAGTTCATTGCGTTCACATTGGTATCGCCCGCGCAATTTGCAAACTATCATCAATATAGATATATGTTGTAACAGTTACTAAATACTCACGCGAACGAATGCAAAACCTCCTCTCCAACAATGATCATGTCTCCAGTTAAGTGATAAAGCCATATGCGAATTATTCGGTATGTACGTACCTTGAGATTAGTCAGTTGCGTCCTAGTTGCTGGGTTCGATCGGTCAGTTGCAGTCTTAGTGCAGAGACTTACTTTGGATGTTAACATTTGCACATATTTCCCAATAGCCACATGCCGCTGTTATCCGCATTAATCAACCGAGAATAGTGTGGACAGTTCGTTTGTACAGGCGAACGGCATCCAACAAAGCTAACCTCAATTCGAAAGCCATCGGCATCCGACAAAGACATATGATTTCTTCGCTGTTTTACAGGTATCCGAGTCACAGTCAGAGGCGCTCGAAAGAGAACCCCCACTAATCGCTTGCGGTTATTCCATTCCTACACAGGGATACTTCAAGTGTCGCTGGATGACTTGACCGACGTTCCAGTTGTCAACATCTCAATCGACTGCTGCTATGGTCCCGGCTTCAAAATATGATATTAATAACTAATGAGACCAAATGAAGTCGAAACGCACCATGGAGCGCAGCGTTTCCGAGCAACAACACAGTATATGTAACTGCAAAACTACAACCAGCAGTATTCAGTGTCACTCTGTGCACAATTGAGTTTGATCACACTGACGACCAAATGCAACAGCTGCAAAACGAACGGTTCGGAATTCTGTTTATGCAAGCAAGGCCATAACGGAATTCATTGAGGCGAAATAAAATATGCCTCCCATTTGACTGCAGTTTTTATAGCAGTTCGCAAGTAAGCATCTATGTTGGTGACACAAATCCACATCAAATCGGTTAGTGAGTTCATGATCAGGCCAATGTGGTCAGTATTAAAATTTTAACGGACAATAATTTTTCGATAAATTATCTCGGGGCACTCCTTCGTTTGTACAATCGGCCTTTTCTGGATCAGCTCAGATCCGATAGGTCATAGTTATCCGGAACCGTGGAGAAAACTAGAACCCCTTTATTGCAGCGGTCGAGAGCCGATTCAAACAGGTCACTGCACACGAGAGAGCTTGAAGTTAGCTACATGCGCTATGGTCATTGTTAGGTAAGCCCCCACACCAACCGAATGTGGTTTTGCGTTACCCATTGCAATCACATGGTTGTGGTAACTTCCCTCTTAACCAAGAGTACATTTTAGCCCGTGATCGATGTTTAGCAATAGGCAGCTGTACAAGAATAGAGGTAGGGACGGTTTTAACTAATCCATAATCTATATGTCGTGGATATGACCATGTACTTTGGGAAAACATCACACGTCGTGCCCTTGCTAGGTAAAGCCTATAAAGACCGCCCACTTGCCATTAAAAGGGATTCCGACCGAGCCCAGATTCCATATTTAAGATGTTTAATAATAAATAAAAGGGTTGAAGAAAGACATGGCACTTAGTGGCCAGATATTTTCGGCCAACTGTCCTTAGTAGATTTCGGTTTTAGTAGCTGGAAATGGACTCATGTACTGAAAGCACAGAAAGAAAACTTCCTTTCGTGTGGTTATCATTGCTTTCAAAATACTACGGACCTCAGTGAGCAATTCACTAAATGTAGCAGGACAGAAGCTGTTTAGTTGTTTCCCGTGGGGAAAATCCTTTTTTAATTACGCACCTATCAGCTGCAACTCTTTGCTGCACTGTTGTACAGAAAGAATACCAGGATTCTCCTGTATGAGTACAATACTTGATGGTCATTCGCACGGAATTAAATTCACATCCTGGACGAAGTAGGGTTCTTGATTGCATTTTATGACCTTGCTGCGACGAAATGCGTTAGACGAATGAATGACTTTGCTTTAGACATGCTACGGCTGCCAAATAATCTGATCACAATAATCAACACACATCAGTAATGATCGGCTTGGGTTACTCTTAGCACGTACCTGGACTGATAACCGAGCTTCACCCATCCGCGGTCCATGATCGGAGAATAAAATAAGAATTGTGTTTGCAAATGGTTTCTGGTTACGGGACGAATTCGTCTCCTCGTCATCCGTACGGACTTGTTTGAGCAACTGCATTATGTCTTCGTCGAGATGAATAGCGTAGGCTGGATTCTCATGGATCATCTCACTCATGAATGTCAGACTGAATTTTGGATGATCCGCATACGCATGAAAGAACTCGCGCAAAGACTCCAGAAGCACGTGGTGGGTGTACCTGAAGGAGTAAGAGATTCAGTATTATACATGAACGACTTCATGAGGTGTGCATCTCAAGCTGTCTTCTTATGTTCCGGTGAACTGAACAATATGTACATGTTAACGCCGCCTGCCGCCCTATTCACAGACGAGTCACTCTGAGAAATTGCATTCCAATCACCTCGATAGCACTTTTACTCTCATGGCAACGCAACCAAGGAACGCATCCGGAGTTGATTACTGCACAGTTAATGATCGGGCGGATTATCGCAGTTTTATGACCGACATTGGTTTTGTTCGATGTTTGCATACACTGGGCGGCCGTGACCAATGGTATCTAATGGATGAGGTGGTATATGATAAACAACCCCCGCTGCATGGTATGCAGGGAGTTTAAGTGGGCAAAATCGGGTGCATTGTGACATTATCAGCATACGTAAAAAGAAACAGTCGTTATACGCGTGGTAGATTTTTATAAAGTGCATCTCTACGAAGCTACAGCTTAAGTGTAATGCCACCAGCAATTCGTGTTTGTTTGGTTGGACAAGCCAAGCTATAATACGGGGGACCAAATGAGCTCAAAAGAAACAAGTAGGATTAAAGTATGGGATCAGAGCACACCAGCTCAACATGGCTACCGATTCCAATACACCAGGCAGATTGATGGTCTGGTAGTGAGGAGTTGCTGAAATTATTATTGACTACCTTGATAATAAATGAGCCACCCAAGTTGGTTCATGAGATCATATGCCAGACATGAGTCATGGAGTGTAGAGATGAGAGAGAGTCACACTGAAATCCTCCACAGACGTGGGTCACGTTCCTGTCCTAATGCACACGAAATTGCAGCAGCGGGAGTAAAATCTAAACAAGGAAAATGATTAATACCCACAGTATTTTGGCCGGCACGATGAGGAGTAGCTATACCTGTCGCGTGCAGTGGTAAAGACGTGTAAAAATTCGATACTACTGTTGTGTAACCAAGCAGTACGGATTTTATTACTCACATAACCACCTCCTGGCACCAACAGCTTTGGCTATTCGCTATAGACAGGCATCTAGCCCCACCTCTTGCTTTTATTATTCAGCCTGTAAGCTCTTGCTTCTCCCAACAAACAAGAATGACTGAATTACAATGCGCGACGAGGCGCCTTAGTTTCGTACGCGTTCCTGTTCACGTGTCCATTTGCTTACCTCAGCCCATCTTTCATTACAAACATGCATTAACCACCATCACCTGCTTTCCATCACTCTATTTGTATTAGCACTCGTCTCTTAACAATATAAGGAGAAGGATTCACCCTGCATGACGCAGCGCCTTACTCTCGTATTCACTGGTGTTCACATACGTTTTACTTTATTAAATGATTATTTAATTTGCTGTAAACAGGCATCCAGCCTCATCTCTTGCTTGTCATTGTGCAGCCTGCATTAGCTAACTTCCCCACAACCCTTGGATGACCTAAGCATCCTTCGTCAAGCAAAGAGTTAGCCTCGTACAAATGCGCAACAAATGTGAACATTACACCTAAGGGAGGTAACGGTGCATCGACAGATAGCTGGTGGTTCTGTGACTTATGTTCAGATAGTGCCATACTTAAGGTTGTTCAGACGCTTACGATAAGGTGTGAGATGTTGGCTGCTACGTCGGCAGAGCAAATGGAACTGATCGCGGTATTGGGAGGAAAAGTCTCAGAATTCGAGTTGCAGAATAGTGCATTACGTAGCCCGAATCCCCGACCTGTTAAGAGGTAAAACCTCTCGAGGTACAATGCTACACAGTCCAGCAAAGGGCAGACGCCATTAGTAATAAACAGCTGTGAAAACAGGCCGGTTGAACGGTCTCCCAAGTCTTACGTAATGCTCCAAAGCATGCAGAGTAACGCACAAATCGCACGATCACCTCCGTCCGTAGCCGGGCGGCAACAATTGTCTCCTACAGATAGTGCAACTAACGGCGTTGTGGGTAAAAAGCTTGCTGTAGCCTTGGCCTGTGGCCCCCGGAAGACAAGCCTGACACTCTCACTCGACAAACCTACGCTCACGAGGAATTGCAGAACAAACAATTACTACGAAACCAAACGGCGTTGACAGTGATATGTTCAAACGTCCCAGAACCCACTAGCGAATCGCTAAAAGGTAGACAAGCCGAGGAGCAAAACCGCTGGGCTGAAATAACTTGCGCACTCGGACTGAAAGTTTTCTCAACTAGTCTTACACGCCTTTCACGGAATCCATCATCTCCACACGTAAGGGAACCTCGGTTACTGTGAGCAATGTTTGACAACACACGTGACCTGGAAGATGTTCTCTTAGCAAGCCACACACTAGTGAACTCTGACAGAAGCGGAAATCCAACCCTAGTTCGGTACGTCAAAATGATATGAACAAAGTAGTACTGGTTCATGATGTGCCAGAATTGTTGCATGACGTTAACAGTGAACGGCAACAGCACAACATCGAAGCATGGAGGTACATCACAGAACCCCATGAAATACAAAATGTCGTGGCTTTTGACATCACCCGCCTAGTTGCCTCCACGAACTACCAAGGCAGCGGGTCACGAAGTTTGAAAGTTACCTTGGCTGCGCTCGAAATGGTGTGAGTGGCAATCCAAGCGTGACATTACAGCAGAAAACTTAGGCCACCAGAAATATGGTTAAGAGCATTGCTTCCATTAGTACAGACCTCAAATACAGATGAGCCAGCCTCCATTGTACCTATCTCAAATCAGCCAACCTCGCAAACAAACGTTTCAAAAAACTTCAGCAGACCGGCACCATTTGTGCCGGTCACTCACAGTGAACCAAGCTCCTGATGCGTCAAAAAATACAATGCTGCTACATCAACACTTAGGGAGTGTATTCTATGCTCGCGGAACTGCGACATCAACGTGAGACAACAGTTAGTGAAACTTGGCTTCCAAACGACATAGTTGATCCAGAGATTGAACTCAGTGAGATGTCAGTCATTCGAAATGATCGTCCATCTCGCGGTGGCGTTGTTGCTCACTACCATCGAGATTACTTGACATGTGAGACCTTTACCGGAAAATACCTTTGTTACTCCCGAAGCACTATTTTACCGACTGCATCTAGTAGGTCGAGGTGTTGGTTCACAGAAGAGGAGTGATGCTTGCCTCATAGTGGTTATCTATAGCATTCCGAACTCATCAGCAGATAGCGATAACGTTCTGTTAAACGCACTCCGCTATGCTGTGTTACAAAATTACTCTCACTATCTTATAATGGGCGACTTCAATGTAGCTACAATAGCATAATGTCCCCTAATGGGCCAGCATTTAAACCGAAGCTCTTTGAATTTAAAATATGGCAGTTTCGTATAATTATGTGCATCGACCAACAAGACACCGGGGTTCAAATATGCCATCGCTCCTGGACTTAATCCTGACTAATGAAGAGCTGATGGTTGAGTCAGCAGGACACGATCCTCCACTGGGCCGTAGCGACCATTCAGTCCTAACGTTTGGTTATGTGAGTTATGCCAGTATTGTTGAGAAAGAAAGAGGGACTCAATGAACTATTACGGACTATTTTAAACTGCACAACCTAACGACAACTGTTGACTGGGACCTACAGGCACACAATTCAGCGAATGACGGGCGGAATGAATTGGAAGGAAATTAACCGGGTCATACAATCAGCATCGAATATTGTACCATTACGAGCAGCGCTCCGGACCAATAAATGGATCCGAAGCAGAACACGTAAATCGATCAACAGAAGAGCTGAGATCGGGAGGCAACATTCGTTAAGCCCATGTGATACCACATGGTAGAATTACAAGGCAATCAGAAACTACTGCACTTCGCACATCAGTGTTGAAAGATACTAATGACAGGAGACCATGGTGCGGAAAGTTACGAGTAACCCCAAACTACTATACAGATATGTGAATGGCAGAAAGGTTAAGCCCGGAATATCACTACTTAAGACAGCCAGTGGTCTAACAACTACTGCTGTGGACGCCGCGAAAGCTCTACTCTCGCAGTTTGGCTCGGTAGTTATAAATACCATGGAACCTTCGCCCTATAAAATGCCAACAACTGTCCTTGGCTTATCCAGCGTCACCTTTACCTCAGCAGCTGCTGTAAGCAAATTACAGTATCTTCAGGAGTACAGTGCCCCTGGAATCGACATGGTCCGCCCAAAAGTACTGTAAACCCTTGCTCCCACCATAGCAGCATCACGTGCAGTCTTTTTCCATGGTCTGCTTAACCCCCATGCACTGCCATCTGAGTGGACAAATGGAATTATCATTCTAATATACAAGGGAGGTAAGCGATCGGATCCTGCTAACTACCGACCGATTACACTCCTTCCTGTTTTAACAAAAGTGATGGAATCGATAATCGCTGATGAACTGACGCGAAACTTTGAAAGTCTACAAATAATTTCTCATGCCCAACATGATTTCAGACGCAGCCGATCTTGTCTCACCAAATTTCTGTTTACTCGGGAATCATGGACCAGTGCGGCTGATGAAGGAGTCCCCATAGATGTGATTTACCTGGATTTTTCTATAGCATTCGACAAGGTCAATCACTTCTTTCTCTTCCAAAAGCTTGCTGCCTACGGTATCAAGGGTCCTTTGGTCACCTGGTTGGAAGACTACATACATGACGGAGCAAGCAAGGTAAGAGCAGCCGACCCTCACACTGAAAACCTGTTCGTCTCCAGTGGTGAACCGCAAGGATCCGTCCTCGACCCGCTACTGCTTTTAGCCAACGTTAATGACCTTCCAGTAGACATTCTATCCCCGATGCAAATATTTGCAGACAAATCTAAAAGATGGAGAACAATTTGCTCAGCATTTGACCTTGTCTATCTTCAGGAAGATCTGGCTGCTGACGGTGCACAGCAGCCTGGTCAACACCTATCTTTTGGGGCAACACATCCTGCAACGTGTGACTAGTGAACGCGACTTAGTATAATCGTGCAAGAGAGTCTCGGCAATTCGCCCTAATGTTCGAAAGCAGCAAGTGTGGTGAACTTGAAC